GACAAGTGTGTCTTATGGGTAGCTTGTATTTGACTCTACATGGAATTACCAAATTGTTTTGTCAGAGTGACGGATAGTTCCACATTCTCACTGACAATGTATGGGAGGGAGTTCCTGCTGCTCTGCCTTCTTGCTACCTTATGGGGTTATCGTGTGTGTATTATTTTCACCATTCCAATGGGTATATTGTGGTATCCTTTTATTTGTATTTCTCTACTCAATAATGATGTCGATCATCTTTTCATGTGCTAAGTTATCATTGGCATGTCTTCTATGGTAAAATGTTCAGATTCTTTTGGCTAATTTTTAATTGGCTTGTTTGTTTTCTTATTTTTGATGTGTAAAAATTGTTTACAAACTCTGGATACACATTCTTTGTTTCCTCCTCTTCTTATTTCTGGAAGAGATTTATAAAATTGGTATTATTTCTTTCTTAAAGGTTTGGTTGAATTCACTAATGAAGACATGTGGGCTTGGAGGTTTTTTTGGCAGGGAGAAGATTTTCAACTATGAATTTAATTTCTTTAGTGTATATGGGACTTTTCAGGTTATCTCCTCCTTCTTGAATGAGTTTTGTTAGTTTGTGTCTTTGAAGATTTGCTTCTACAGAAGTCTCCAATTTATGTGCAGAGAGTTGTGTATATCCTTCCTTTATTATCCTTTTATGACTGTGGTAGTGCTATCCCATCTTTCATACCCATACTGATAATATATAGCTTCTCTCTTTCTCTTTTTTCAAATCCAGCTAGAAATTTATTAACTTTATCAATCCTTTACAAGAATTAGCCTTTGGTTTCATTGATTTTCTCTGTTGTTTTGTCTTCAGTTTCATTTTTTTCCGCCTTATATTTATTTTTTTCCTCCTTGCTTTAGGTTTTGCTGGTTTCTTAAGGTACAAACTTAGATTTGAGACCTGGATTTTCTTCTAAACAGAATATTTCAAACATAAATTTCTTTCAAGGGCTACTTTAGTTTCATCCCACAAATTTTGGTACATTGTGTGCTCATTTACATTCAGGTCAAAATGTTTTCTAATTATCCTTAAGACTTCTTTATTGACCAATGAATTTCTGAAAGTGATTTGCTTAATTTCCAAATATCTAGAGGTTTTCCAGAAACATTTTTTATTAATGCAATTGATTCTATTATGAGCAGAGTTTCATTCTTTGAAACATGTTTACTTTGTTACCCAGCATATGGTTTACTTTGGTGCATATTCCATATGTGGTTAAAAATAGTGTGTTTTCTGTTGTTATTTAGATGGGATATTCTATAAAACTTCATTAGGCCAAACTGCTGATAGTATGGTTTAGATCTTCTATATTTGTGCTGATTTGTTGTTGTTGTCTATTTGTGCTATCAATTACTAAGAGAAAATTTTTGTAGCCTCGAACTACAATTGTGATTTGACTCTTTCTACTCTCAGTTCTATCAGCTTTGCTTCGTGTATTTTGAAGCTCTGGTATTAGGTACGTATTTAGAGTTGTCATATATATATTTTTTTTTAGATATTTTTGTTAATTTATTTATTTGAGAGAGAGAGAGAGAGAATGAGCAGGGAGAAGGCCAGAGGAGGAAAATGTGCCATTTTACAATACATTTTGTGTTTGCTCTTTTTTTTCCCGTCAAACCTATTATATTATTTGAAGATTTCTTCCCATTACATTTTTAATATATCTATTGGCTTTTCACTATATCTCTCTGTTTAACTTTTCTAGTTGTTGCTTTCAGGGTGGTTACAACACACATATCTAAATTTTCTCAATCTTCTTAGAGTTCATAGTTGGCCACTTCAAGTGAAGTATAGAAACCTTACCATTATATAAATCAGTTTACATCTTATTGAAACGGAATATATTGAAAACCCCACAAGACACGTTATAATTTTTGCTTTCAACAATCATACAAAAGTATGGATGTTACACAGACTCGCACGTCATCCTTTCTCTGGGGCCATGCCAATCTTCTCTGTATTGTTCCAACTTTAGTATATGTGCAGCCCCAGTGAGCACTGAAGGTGTTTTTGAAGTCCTTTGAAGGTAAATATTTACCCAAAACTTGCACCAACTTTGTGAAACTATGATTATTAGAAGTACAGTTTATGACCAAGGATGTGTTTTTCTCGGGACAAAGCCATAATTGACTCTAACCAATAATAATTTGACATTAAAGGGTATAAAATAAAGACATGTTATCCTGAACTAAAGCAGAATGCAGATTCAAAAACTAGAAACATGCACAAAAATGTTTTATCACCAAAGCTGATTTTTTGTTTTGTTTTGCAATATGAATGTTTATAATAGGAAAACTACCAGTTATCTGGAGGGATGTCTAAATGGAAGGTATTATCTAGAAATTAAAAGAGAATTGGTCCATTTTCCAATAAGCAGTAGATATCTGGAGAAGATGAAAGAGAAGCTGGCTCTGCTAGATGTAGAATTAAGGAGAGTGGAGGTCATACCAGACACTGTTTAGATCATAGCCAAGAAAATGATCACACATGTAAAGCATCTTTCATCTAAAAATAAATAACCCTCAAAAGCATTTTATGCATATAATTTTATTTACCTCTGCCACAGTTGCTATTGCAAATAGTGTCCAGAGTCCAGAGCAGGGAATTGATGAGTCTATGGGGCACGCAGTGAAGGTATCAGTCACCCTCTGTGCCCTTGTCCTTCCCAGAGTATGCAGTCATTGGCTCAGAAGGTACAGCTGGGAAGGTGACTGTTTCTCTAAAGGCTTTGGTGATGTAAGCCGAAAACCAAGGAGGAGGAGAGGGCAATGAAACCTCATCTAGACTGAGCCGTAGTGTACTGTGAGGGTTGCAAACTTGGGCTTGTTGACTGTTCAGTGAGAAGGAAGCATTGTACTTGGACTTTATGGGGAAACAGCCTGCCATAAAGGGTGGTCTGGATACCACACCATCTTCTCCACCTGTCAGATGTCCGACCAGTCAGGAAGGTTCAGTCAAAGTGCTTTCTGCTTTATGAGGCCTTGCCCTCTACCCACTCCAGCTGTGTTGAATGGTCTGCCTCCATGCTGACTGATAGAGCTCCTGTATCTGCCCAACTCATGTGATAAGCTTTGTCTTCCTTCCGTTTGACGGTTACCCAAAAATGGATCTTAATCTCCATTCAGACCAGGACAGTGTCTTTGTTTCTTCAAAGTGACCTACCCAGTGTGCGCTAAGTTGGAAAGAGGCAGTTAGTAGAGTAGTTGAGAGAACAGGCTTACTCTTTCTGTGTTCAAATCCACCATTTTCTAGCTGGATGTCCAGGGACAAGTTATTGAAATACTTTCAGCCTCTGTTTCCCCACCTTGAACACTGGGATAATAACCCTATTTGTAAAGACTCAACAAGTAAAGATGTACAGTGCTGAGCATTTTTGTCTGGTACATACTAAGAACTATTACTTATTTTTATTACTAAATGATTAAATTTTTTCTTACAAAGCTGTGAAATACATACATATTTGTGAGCAAGGCAAGCCAGAGCACAAACAGGACTAGGAAAGGGAAGGCAGAGAAAACAAACCAAAATTGACCAGATTTCAGATACCAAAGATTTAGTACCTATTTTTAAACGAAGTGAAAGGTGGAAATGCAAATTGGTACAACTGCTCTGGAAAACCGTCTGGCAGTGTTGATTCAAGAAGAATATTCTCATACTCTATGACTTAAAAATTCCACTTAAAAGTATATACCCAACAGAGAAGTGTCCTTGTATTACCCAAGGATGCTTGATAGAATGCTCTTAACAGCAGTATCTACAGTAGTGGTTAACTGGAAACTATGCACATGTTCATCACCTAAAAAATGGATACATAAATGTGGCCATGAAAATGGATGATTTACAACTACACACAACAGAATCAATGAATCTCACAAATGTCATGGTGAGCAAAGGAAGCCAGACATCAAGGAGTATATATAGCCTTTACTGTAAGATTCCAGGCAAAACTAACCTACGTTGTTACAGGTCAGGATAATGGTTACAGGGATAGAAGAGGGGTGGGTGGAAGGGCAGGAAAGGAAGAGAAGAGAGAACAGGAGAAGCTTCCTAGCTAACATTTTATTTCTTCATCTGGGGCTCCATGCGTGGCTTCAGTTCATTGAACTGAGCATTTACCTGCGTTTTCCTACATGTGTATCATACTTCACTGCAAAACAGAGAACAGAAGTAAGAATAGGAAAGCAAGGGAAGGAAAGAAAAGAACAGGGAAAGAAAGGGAGGGAAAAACAAGCCCAGAAGATGAGAAAGACACAGGTCCTGGGCTCTGGACGCATCTGGCTCAGCCTTCTACCTCACACACCAGCCCTGCCCATCCCCACCCCGGTGCCCTGCTCCATTTGCCCAGCACGTGGATGGCTTATATGGGGGGGAGTGGAATCCTCTCCTTCTCTGCCCTCTCCCCAAGCTCCTCCCCACTCTGAGCACCACTAAGTCAGGAAGGGGCTTTCCTGGGGGGAACGCTGGTCTTGGAGTAACTGGTGGAGTGGATGGTGCTAAAGCATCATTAATGAAACCTAAGACTTAAAGCCATCTTTTCTCTCCTCTTTTCCTCTTCGCCTGGGCTCCTTCTCCCTCCCGGTACCTTTCCCAGAAGGTCCCCCTGAACCGGTGGCAGTGGCAGTCCGACTGGGCCGCGCCTGGGGCGCTGCTGGGCTGGGGTGGTGCGGCGGAGCGGGGATCAGAGCCAGGGCCAGGGCAGGGGCCGCGCTGGCGGGGTGCCCCTCCCCCCGCCTCGCCCGGGCTGACCCCGCCCCGTGGCCTCCGGCTATTTTGGGCGCGTTGGCGGCGACGCGGGGATAGCTGACGAGCGCGGATCCTGTGACACCTCCCTGCAGCCCGGCACTTGTTGCTGGGGGACCTGCTGCCATCCCTCAACCCACCTTTCTCCCTTGTCCCCTGTCCCCTCTGGCTTCCCTCCTTTGCATGTGATCTCTCCGAACACTGATCTCTCAGATACTGCTGTTCCCGGCTTGGGAAATAGATTTGGAAAAAAAAAAAAAATAATAATAATAATAAGCGCCGCTCTCAAGAAGGGCCCCGCAGAGCAGGAGCGCAGAGGGCTGGCCCGGGCGCCGCAGAGGTGGCGCCTCCTCGGCCCGGGACGCTGGCCCCGGGCGCCGAAGGCATGACGGACTCGGCGACAGCTAACGGGGACGACAGGGACCCCGAGATCGAACTCTTCGTGAAGGTAGGTTGGCATCCAGGCGCTCGCTGCACCTGTCGCTCCAGCAGTCGGGCTCCTTGAGGCGCGGGCTCACGTGCCAGCGCAGGCAGAGCTGGGACACTGGACCCTCCCCAGGGAGGACATCTCGGCCCTAGCGCTCCCTTGGGTGGCCTTTCTGCAAGCGGGACAGCCTCGCTCTGGATCTCCGGGGTGTCGGGGAGTCAGGCGCAATCCGGCAGGTGGCCGCCAGTCTTCTTGTTGGCCCGCAGTTTGTCAAACCAGCTGCAGGGCCAGTGGATCAGTCCTGAGCCCTGCCCGGTGCGATTTTGGCGAGTCCTGAAGGGTATCTTGAGGTATAAGGAGGTGACAGGCGCATGGCTGGACCCCTGAACCTTTCTTCTCAAATTGGGGGGCACAGGGAGGTAAGAGAGGGACGGAAAGAAAAGGAAACCTTACGGATACAATTTTCTCTGGCAAAATAAAAATAACATCTCTTCAAAGGTCCTTTCTCTCTTCGGCTCAGAGCTACTTCAAAGAAAAGCAGAAGGAAACAAAGGTGTTTCTTGCTTTGTGACCCGCAAAGCAGGAAACAAACACTCCTTTCACCCGCAAAGCAGAAAACAAACACTCCTTTCGCCCACATTACGATTATTGTCATCATGATTCCGCGGGGTAGGATCAGGAAATGCTAAGGGTTGGGCAGTGCGGGAAACCCAGGTGGACTTGGGGCGGAAGGGGATGGAGGAGCACAGTGAAAAACCAAGTTAAGTCGCCTTGCTCCCTGGGTGAAACAATCTTCCCTCAACACTGCTGCACTTCGTTTGCAACCGGTAGAAGGGAAAGGGATGGATGCCGGCTAGGCAGCGTTTCCCGGTCCGCTGGTGGTGTATTGTAAGAAGGAAACATTTGATCAGTCCCTGCTGTGGCCCGACACACCGCAGAAGCTGGGAAACCTGAGGCGGCAGGAGAGTTGCCTCCTGGGTGGTGCAGAAAGCCTTGCCAGGACTTGGGGGAGGGGAGTCCGCTGGCTGCCTGAGCTCCAGGACTTTTCTCAAATGGGGAAAATACCCTTTCACAGCAGTTTTCTTGAAATGCCCAGGTAACTGAGAAGCGGGGAGTCCTTGGTACCTTTCAGAGGTCTCCTGGGGTGCATTTAAAAGGCATCTGTATTCCCTGGAGTGGGAAAGATGTTATTTGGGGTAAATTACCCTGAATTCCAAGCTAATTAAACAGAGAAATTGTCACAAAAAAGTGTAAGACCTACAGAAATCTTGATAACCACCTTCTGGTCTTTGGTATCTTTTGATGCCTAAAAAAATAAACCCCTCAGGTTGTGACTTATGTTACACTTGGTAAGTGGCCTGTCCCAGTTGGCCCAGCCTACCACAAAAGTCTGTTACATTTTCTTCAGCCAGGTGTTACCTTCTTTGGGTTTATTTTTCTTCAAAATTATCCATAGAAATCACAAAATGTCATTTAGTGACATTTGCTTTGCGAAGGCTATTTCTGTCCCCTCAAAGTTGGCCTTTGTCTTGTTTGGTTTTTGCGACCCTTCTAGGCAGGATTACCAGGTCCTTTGGCAGACCTGGGTGATGAAAGAGGTCACGTCCTCTTGCAAGTTTGGCAGTGTTGGACCAAGGGCCAGAAATGGGGGCCCTGGAGCTTGGTGTCCAGGTCTGTGGTCTAGGGAACCAGCAGGGAGAGCTTTAACAAAGCGATGAGTATCCCTGCTCTCCTTGAAGAATGCTATTCTAGGACTTTCTCAGATTTCCTGGGAGCAGGTAGTTTCATAGTGTCAAGTTCCTGAAAGCTATTTGAAACACAAATTGACTCTTTAGAGCCAAAGGAGCCCTTTGCCCCACTACTAGGCACTGAGACAGATTTGTTGGCAGCTTTGAAGGTTTTCTCCATTTATATAAAAAGCTCACTGCACAGCCCCCAGGGCCCCCAAAAGAATTCTAAAATGCCTGTGTTGTTGTTTTGTCTTAAAGGAAAGAGATCCATGGCCAGGCAGGCCTTCATGATTAGCTCAAAAACTGGATTGATTGTGAGACAAAAAGCTGATAGGAAAGCTCTTGATTTTTTAACCCCCTCTTGTTTGACATTCTGGGTTGCAGTTACCATTTCCAGGGACTCACAAAGGCTGAAAATGTTGTGAAGTAAAGATCCCACCCAGGTTATGAACGGTTTTATTTTAGGGAAACAAGGGCCTGATCTATAGAATCAGGTCCACCCAAAGTTGGACGTTTCTCTTAGCTGTGTGATTCCCATGAGAAAGGCCTTCCTGTTGAAGGCATCTGGGGCCTGAGGCATCTTCTGCAGAGCAGGGTGGGTTGGTTTCTAGGAAGCCTCCTGGCTGGGTGGGACCCCACCCAGAGTGGGTTGTGTCATTTTCAACACCTCCTTCAGGGGACCTCCTCTCTACCCAGCTGGTATGCTGGGTGTGTGGTTCAAAACCTGGGTCACTCAGGGAGTTTCAGGGATACACAATTCTATCCCACATCACCTGGTTATCAGCGTCTATTAATTACTATGACTACTACTGCTGGTGCTCTTGATAATAATAATAATAATAATAATAATAAAATGCAGCATTTTAGAATTTCTGAAACATATTCAAATACCTTACCTTGTTCCCTGTTTGTGAGCCTTGGTTCACTTCTGTGAAAAATGAAGGAAACCAATAAATGCGAGTCATAGGGAGTTCGTGCTGTCTGATGTTCAGTGAGTCACAGTTGGCCCCATGTCACAACCTAGGGAAGTAAGAAGGATGATTCTGCCCGTTCGATGGTGAACACTTGTGCTCAGAAGTACGCTGTAAATAACGTTCAGATCCACTCCTCAACTGTTACTGTTTTGACTCCGAATTTCTTCCTCTTTCTTTTCCAAAGACCCGCATGTCTGGCCTTATACCTTCTTTGGCTGAATTAGGCAATTCATTGATACCGCACTAAACCATTCTACTGTCATAGAATGCTGCCCACTGTGCTCTGCCCTCCTTCCAGGGAATTCTAGTAGTGACATTTTTGTTTCCTCATCACCAACGAGAAAGTCTTGAGTAACTCAGCTCTGATATAATATTTCATAGAGGCTCCATGGATGGGACAGAGGCTTGGAGACACAGGACATGAGTTTGGGTCTTGTGCCTGCTTCTGATTAACTCATGACTGAACACATTACTTAACTTCTATGAGCCTCAGTAGCCTCCTCTTGAAAACAAGAGGATGGTTATATGGTTATAAATAACCACAATTATATGATGGTGATCATATATTTTATGGCTCAGACGACGACATTCGGTTTGAGAGTGAAAGGGGGTGCTATGAATAATTAGGCTGGGACAGCAGGTGTCACCAAGAATTGTTCCCAGGCAAATCAGGATGTGTGGCCACCCTGATTATGGGAATACTGTCCCCACGGACATGCTGTGAGTATTCCACAGGAGCAAGTAGGTGAAAGTACTTTGTAAATGAAAATTGGTATAAACACATATGAGTAAAATAACAATATGAATTCCATGGCAAATAAAACCTTTCCTGATCTGCAGGCCCCCGATTTGCCCTAGGGAACAAAAGCCTGCCTCCTTCCTCACTTGCAAGGCTATTTCAAGAATAAATAAATGGGATCATATACAGCTTGGACTTTGATTGTAAGGGGAAGACAACAGGTTCGACAGTTGACAGTGGCAGCCAATGTGGTTTATAGAAGAAAGAGCAAGGAAGTAAAAGCAAAACAGAAAGTGATTTGGAAAAACAAATACAGGATGTGCTGAGTAGGTTAGATCAAGACATTCTGCCCCTCTGTGTTGACTCCTGGACAGCCAGTCCCATCCTGGGACCCAAGAGGTAGAACACCACCAAAGTGGTTGCAAGTATCTCTTGCTGCCAGGGGTGTGAATTTCAATAGAAACCAGTGGTTCTCAACTTTGGATACATAGTTAGATTGTTTTTGGGGGAGATTTAAGGTTTAAGAACTCCTGATCAATTACAGGAAAATCCCTTGGGGTGGGGGAAGGAGACCAGAACCAGATTTCAGGTGACTCCAGGGTGCAGTTCGGGTAGAGAGCCACTGAGTCATGATCAGAGGCAAGTCTGACTGCAGGCAGTGTCTGCCACGGCTAAAATAGGTAGCCGTCCTAGAGGGAATTAGTGTCCAGAATTTCTAACAGCTTCAGGGTGTCGTGATCAGGAGTGTTGTTGATACAGAGTTTGTACCCAATCTGTGCTCAGTTAACAGATGCTGACGGACTATAAAGCTCTATCCACAGGACTCCAGAACAATCCGTGCATGGGGTCGGTCTAGTCAAATAACCATCAATTCAGCTTGGGGGAAATAAAACGGAGTCCTGCCGATTGTTGGGTGGAAATGACTAGCTGTTTTATTTATTGAGTGATCTGGAAGGCTCTGACAGTGGTACAGAGCACATGTCAAGTTGTGGTGACCCACTGTATAGTCATCTGACTTCCAGAACAGACAAGATCAAATCTTGTGGCATTCCCTCTCAGATCCCCACTGCCCTCTGGCTGCCTGGTCCCCTTGGACATCTCACCTAAACATGGGAACATTAGGTTTTGCTGTTCCCTTCAGTACATTAAGCAACTGTTTTTCTTTTCCACGAGTCCGGGTTTGGGTTGGGGTCAGGAACCAATACACAAGTTCACCCGCCGTGCCATGTCTGTGAGTGTGACTTTTCCTGCATGCCTCAGGTCTGGTGGCAGGGACAGTGGGTCTACAGAAGTGGAAGCCCGCTGTTAGCACGCTCAGCTCCTGCCTCCCTGCCCACAGTTCTTGCTTCCCCAGCTTGCCTTTCTCCAGCCGGGGCAAAGACTCCATCCATTTAGACCATCTGGCAAATACCTTCTCATCTGGATTCCTTTTCCGTTGCCACGCAGTGGCAGGAGGCATGGTGGGAGACAGCCCACTTTAGGGAGCAGGCTGTGGGTTTCCAGCTGGGCGGGCTGGAGCAGGCTGCCGTGGCTCTCTGTGCCAATTTTCTTACCAGTGCTGTGCTGATGGTGGTGGGA